ACGGGATATGGTTCACATGAGACAACCCGTTGCTCGGGCGGAGGGCGAAAAGCCGCAGTGCGAAGGGGGGTAGCTTCACCTGCGGTGAGCAGATTCTCCGGTGGGGTGCAGCATACAGGCGCGGAAGGCATTGCACTGGCAACGTATGAGAGTGCCCAGTGCTCTGGTAGGGTGCAGCTAACAGCCGCAAGAAAACGGGAAATAGTGTTTCCGCCTGAGACATGCAGATTGGTGACCGGCCTGGGAGCGGCGAGCGGGGGGGTAGCCGAATGCCGTCCTGTGCCAAGGTCGGGGTGAAGAAGCCCGCGATAACACCGCGTGAGAGTGCCAGGTGCTCTGGTAGGGTGCAGCTAACAGCCGCGGACAAATGGGAAAATATGCTTTCGCCTGAGACATACCGTAGGTCGGGCTGGGAGCGGAACTCGGGGGGGTAGCCGATTGCAGTCCAAGACTCAGGGTGGGGGTGGATTGGCACCTAACGCCGCAGGATGCTGGGTGTGAACGATAGCTTCGCCAGGATGGTGACGACGATCAGCTGGGTTGCAGCTAACAGCCGCAAGAAGAGGGAGGATTGTTCACCTGAGACATCCAGTTGCTCGTACAGAATGCGGATAGCCGCAGAGAGCGAAGGGGGGTAGCTTCGCCTGCGATGTGCTGATTCTCTGGCAGGGTGAAGCTGACAGCCGCGGAATGCTTCGCGCTGGCAACGTATGAGACTGCCTGGTGTACTGTTGGTCAACCGCAGCGTTCTGTGGAACCACAACCCTGAGGGTCATGCTGTGGACCTTGTCTCGTCGAGCCAGCATTCACCGTGTCGACGCCGCTCGGTGGAGCCGACGAGGAGAGCGCCTCGGCAAGCGTGTGACGACGACCCTGTCGTATCATCGGCATTGTGGAGCCGGTATGAGCTTAAAAGTGGGGCAGCGAGGAGCTGCAAAGTGAAGCCGCGATGGCACTAGCAGTACGGAAGGCCACAGAGGGGCCCGGTCCCTGGCCGCCTACAGCGAATCGGGGAGGCGGCAGTCATCCAAGGGGGGATGTGCCGCAAGAGGTGCCCCGGGAGGGGGACCTAGAGCCTGAGACGTGCAATGAGCCCCAGCCTGGCAAGTCCGAGGCGGTATTAGCACGTCAGTGGAGAGCGTGCGGTGGCAGGCTGGCCCACCGTCAGGTAGGCGGCGCCCGGCCGGCCATGGCAGTGCCAGCCGGCGGCTGGGCCTAGAGAAATACTCCGGCTGGGCAGCCACTCGGGTCGTCCTGGGAGCCCGCCGTCCTGCTACGTTTGACGTCGCCCCCTCCGCGCAGTCCTTTGCCTTTACCATTGTTGGGTGTGTCCGAGTGTGTGGCCCTCTCACGGACGCGTGCACGCACTATGTTCCACCGAACTCCGAGCTGGAGACCTGCGTCTATCGCGAAGGCGTTGTACTTGAAACGTGCCCACTCACGAAGGAAGCGGGAGCACGACTCAGGCTGCTGGAGTGAGGGGTCGGCGCAGATCTTGTCTGGGTTTGGGAAGTGCACGGTTGTCCACTGATGCCAGATAGCGTTAAAGTAAGCGCCCAGGTCAGACCATGACATGCTGTATGTACCCTGACCATGAACCATGAAACCTTGACCATGAAGTATGCTACCTTGACCATGAAACAGGCTAATTACCTTGACCATGAAACATGCTACTTTGACCATGAACAGGCGTGGCCGACCCAATCGTCCTGTTGTGCCGCCCTCCGACGCCTCAAACTACAGCTGCGGGTATGATTAGCAATATGCTCGCCTGAGCAACCTGGGCCAATTGACAGGTAGAATCGTGACCAGACTCTGGGCTGGCGTTGCGCGTGCAACCACAGGCGTTCGCAGGGGGCCAAAGAACCAGACCAACTTCCCGAAAGGGTCGAACATACGCTGGGCAAGAACGACCTGATGGGGGCCCTGTGCCCAAACATGCGAAAAAGTTGCAGCGCCCGGCAACGCGTCCCGGGGGCCGGATCGATCTGTGAGGGTCCCGGGTCCCGAAGCCGAGCGAACACGCCCGCTGCGACAAAGTTGCAACGCCAAGATCCGAGGGCAAAGCGTCCGCGAGGGCCGGACTCCCGGGGCGGCGGCGAGCCAGCGAGCCGGCAGCTGGCGGGGCGCAGCCGGGCGCAGCCCCCCGCTCGCCTCGAGGCCGAGCTCCTGCAGCTCTGGCGGCCGCCTCGCCCCTCGCGCCGCCGGCCGCCCCGCCGCGGCAGGCCGCGCCTCCTCTGGCGCTGGCCGGGACGGCAGCTTCGCCTCGCGCGGGTCCTCGCGCGCGCCCTGCGGGGCGCTGCCCTGCCGCTTGGAGCCCTCCCGGGACCTCTTCTCCCTGGAGTCGCGGGTCCTGGGGGGGGTGGGGGGGGCAAAATCTCCGACCTCCGACGGCATGATATTTTTTTGTTTCTTCTTATAGTTCGGGGCGTTTTTCCAAAAGTCAGCCCCTGGAACTCGCTCTCGGGCCCCGGGGCCATCAAAAATGGACTCGGGCGAAACTTGCCCATGGGAGACGTGTCGGGACATCTGCACCTGGCGGTCGGACGAAGTGCGTAGAACCATGAAGTAGGAAGGCGTTGGAAGTAGATCAGGTTTCCGCCCGCCCCCTGTAGAGGAGGGAAGAGGGAAAAATACTCGACTCTTGAAGTAGAAAGGCGGCAATGGGATCTGGGCGTTTAAAGATAGCTACCTACTTTCAGCGACTGGCGTGTATTGGCTGCTCCACCGACTTCTCCTGGAGTCCGCTCTGACCATGGGCTTCGAAGCGGATCAGGCCGTGGCGGCGAGGGACTGGCAGAGCGGTACATCGGAGTCCAGTGCCCTCCCTCTCTTCCGCCCCTGGGAGCCGACGTCACGGACCAATTGCCACATCGTGGCGAACACCCGACTGGAGCCCTGCACCCCCTCGATCCATCGGGTGTTCTCCTCCATCCATCCCCTCTCCTCCTCCCCCCTCCCTCCCTCCCCCCCCTCCTCCCCCGAGCCGGGTCGATCCGTGAGGGCCCCGGGGCCCGCAGCGAGACCAACCCGCCCGCGCTGCGCCAGAAAATGCGACGCCAGGGTCCTCGGGGCCCGGACCTCCGTCAGATCTGACGTCTTGCACGGGCTTTCATCATACCGCAGTCAGCCACACACGAAGTATGATTTTTGCGAATATAAAAGGGGGGAGATAACAGTTTCAACTTGTTTTCCCTTATTGTTAGCAGTGGTCGTTTGGAGAGAAGTGCAACATCGCAGAACACATCACCACTGGAGCCCCAGACCCCCTCCTTCTGCGGCAACTTTCGGGGCGCATCGATCTCTGAGGGCCCCGGAGCCGAAGCCGGGCGAGCACGCCCGGCGCGAAAGCACTGCGACGCCAGAGAGCCTCAGGGCTCTTCCTCCTTCTCGCCGCGCGGTCCTCAAAGGCCCCGCCTCGGCGCGCACGCGCGGGCCCTCGCCCGACAGCCTGCGGCCCGGCGGCGCGGACGCGCTCGCGCGCCGGGGTCCTCCGAGCCCCGGGGCCTCGGAGAGGGGCGGGAGGTGCGCGGGGCCGGCAGCGAGCGGCAGGGCCGCGAGCAGCGGCTGCAGCGGGGCCAGCACGGGCGGCGCCGCGCCGGCCGCTGCGGCGGGCGCCGCCCCGAGCCCCCCCCCTGCTGGGTCGACGCCAACCCTGTGCACTTGCACCGATCCCGGCCAGGCCCCGACCTGGGCCGCCCAGGATCGGTGTTATGTATGACGCGGGGTCGAGGGTTCAGCCCCCCGCACCCCCAGATGGGATGGGCCCAAGGGCCCAGGGTTCCACAGGCCCGCCCCCCCAAGATGGGACGACGGCGACGGCGACGACGACGACGGCGATGACGACGACGGCGACGACGACGACGACGACGACGACGGCGGCGGCGACGACGACGACGATCTACCACGCGACGCCCACAGCAGGGCCACGACCTCAGGTGGTGGATGAGGCGATTCCATTCGCGAGGCCTTCGCGAGGCTCACGGGCGTACCCCCCATCCAGCGGGGGGAGGGGGGAGCGATCCCATGAGGGCGGGGGGAAAGTATCCCCCCCCCTTTGGTTGGCCCTGTGGGCGTGGCGTGGTGGAGGTCTTCGTCGTCGTCATCGTCGTCGGCGTCGTCGTCGTTGTCGTCGTCGTCGTCGTCGTCCCCCCTCCCATCTTGGGAGTGGGGAGCCTGTGGGACCCTAAGGCCCGTCCCATCTGCATCTGGGGGGGCGAGGGGGCTGTGAACCCTTGACCTGGCATCGTTTCTACGCCCTCCTGGCTTGTCGAGTAGGGCACAGACACCGATCCCAGGACTGGCCTGACCAGGACCGGCGCAAGTGCATAGAGTTTGCGCCCTCCGGCCTGCGCCTGGCCGCAACATCTCGCGCAGGCGTGGCCGCTGCGCGCGGGAGGGCGCCGAGCTGGTGACGCCCTCAGCCTCGAGGATCCCACGGCGCGGGCGCACGCGTTCGCCGTCCTCCGGCTCCAAGCCACCCGACACGGCTGCCCCGATCCGGCGGGCGTCCTCCCTCGCCTCGTCCGTCATAGAGAACGGGATGTCCACCCCTGGCAAGAGCTTGTGGAGCTCCAGCAGTGGGACCTTCTGCAGCGCCTGCGCAGCAGGGAGTGCATCCCTAGACCCGTGCGACCTGGACCTGCCCGTGCACCCAGGAGCACGCTCGGTCTCCGGCTCAGCCATGGGTGCCTCCTCTGCGGCCGCCGCTGGCTCAGGCGCGGGATGCTCCCCCGCCGCCGGCGAGGCGACCAGGGCGACCGAGGCGCCAACAACCTCCGCTGGCGACTGCGGCTGCGGCTGCGGCTTGCCCTCCCCGTCTTCCGCTGCGAGCTGCTGCTCTGGTTGCTCTGGCTGCGGCTGCAGCTCCGGCGGCCGTTGCCGCCGGTGTCGCTCCAGCTGCGGCTGATGCTCCAGCTGCCGTGACTGCTGCTCTGACCGCGATTCCTGCTGCTCTGGCAACTGCCCCTGCTGTCGAGCCGGCTGCTGCTCTGGCTGCTCTAGTTCTGGATGCTCCCGCTGCTGCTGCTGCTGTCGCTCCAGAGCGTGCAAGGACTGGTGGGCCTGGTGTGACGCTGGGGACCAGCAGCCCTCAGCAGCGTCAGGGTCGCCCGCTTCCAGGTGGGGCGGCGGCTGCTCCTGGTGGCACTGGCCCTGCTGCTCTCCTGGCGGCGGCATCGCGGGCTCCTGGGGGTTCTCCCGCAGGCACTGCGGCGGCCGCTCAGGCCTCGGGCACCACAAAGCCGCTGACCTCTGCAGCACCCTCCTCCTCCTCCTCCTCCTCCTCCTCCTCCTTCCCCATCCTTCTCTCCCCCAGGCCCCCTCACCTCGTGGCCCTCATCTCGATGATCCTCAGAGCGCGTGTTCGCGCCAACGTGTGCTTGTTCCCCGAAGCCCTTCACTCCGACGCAGGCGATGCAATGAGAGCCGACACAAGCTGCGCGCTACCATGGAGCTGAAGAGGGTAACACACACACATTGGGCTAGCAGCTAGCACACGTCCTGAGGATCATCAATCGTCCACCGCCTCCTCGGCAACCGGCCCCAGGACCTGCACTGGATCGTCTCGAGGCGGATGCGGCCGTGGCAACGAAGGCCCTCCACGAGGCCCCTCCCCCCAAAAAGGCGAGGCAGCTCCACGGGCCCTGCCACGCGAGCCGCACGATGGCGTGGCGTCGATTAAGAGGCGCCGAGGAGGAGGAGGAGGAGGAGGAGGAGGAGGAGGAGGAGGAGGAGGAGGAGGAGAAGGAGGAGGAGGAGGAGGACCAGTGTAAACCCAAGATGCATCAACGATGTTGCAGTACACCCTCCCTCCAAACTCCCTCTTCACAAGTCCCTACAATAATTGATTTTCTTTGCGGGGATCACGTTGGGCCTGTCTGGGCTGTCTTGGAGGGGCTTGTCGAAGTTAAGTTCCCCGGGGCCTTCTGGGAGCGTCTTGGAGCTCTCTGGGGTAGTCTGGGGGCTCCAGGGCCGCTCCGGGGTGCCCAGCTTGGGCCTGTCCTGGGGCTCTCTTGGGCCGTCTGGGGCTCTTCCTGGGCAGTCGATAAACTCCCTTTTGCCGTCTCGGTGTTCTTTTGGGGGCCTCTTCGGCGGTCTTGGGGCGGTCTTGGGAGCGTCGTCGGCCGTCTTGGAGCCCGGGAAGGTCGAAAACGCGAGAAACCGAAACATATAGAAAAAACACATGAAAATACATGATTTGAGCCTCTTCGGGCTCTCTCGGGATGCTTCTCGGAGCTCTCTTGAGGCCTCTTGGAGGCCTCTTGGGCTGTGTATTTGCGGTCTCGAACCCATCTTGGGCCACGTTGGGGCTTTTCGAAGTCCCCGAGGGCTTCTGGGAGCTCTCTGGGGCAGTCTGGGAGCTCCAGGGCCGCTCCAGGGTGCTCTGGGAACGGTCTGCGAAATCCCGGTCCTCCCATGCCCCCCCGGGCCCCGGGCCTCGTGCACGGGGATCGATATGTATACATATATATATATATATATATATATATATATATATATGTACTTGTGTATGACTATGTTTCTGCACACGCATAAGCGTGTGTGTATATCTATATATATATATAAGAATACATAAGGACATACATACATTTATAGGTATGTATATCAATTGATTCAAACGCCGCACCTTCGACACTCAGGAATCACGCTCTCGCTGCGGATTTTCTCATGATTTATTTGGGAATCGCGTTCTCGCTCGATTCGTGCAGGACGCTGCAGCAAACCCGCCTGCTCGACCTGGCCGGCCGCCTGGGCCGCCTTCCTCACCCGCCCGTTAAGGTCTATCCGCCCGACCTGCCCGTCTGGTTCTGCCACGTGCGTTCTACTCCTAACCCCAATCCTGCTATTCTCTCTCGTGCTCCATCCTCCTGCTTCCCCCTTGTCCTTTCCTTCCATCCGTCCTCTCTACCCCTGCTTCAGGGGTTGCAAGAAATACACGCTGCAGGCTAAACATTACCCTGGCGATGTACCCAACCCTTGCGCAATGCGGGGCATGAGTAGCTTCGGCGACTTCGTAAAGGGGGTGGTGACGAGACATGGACGTATGTATTTCTGCGACCAGCATTTGAAAGGTCCCAGTTGAATCCGCCGCGGGGCCCCACTATGCTGGCCCCCTAGCAGGCCTCGAAAGTGGCGACAGGTTCACAGATCGCAGCCCCTCAGGGATGGCGAGGTCTAGTTTGAATCTGCGCAGCACGTCACTATGCTGGACCCACCAGCAGGCCTCGAAAGTGGCGACGGTTTCACAGATCGCAGCCCCTCAGGGATGGCGGGGTCTAGTTTGAATCTGCGTAGGACGTCACTATGCTGGACCCTCGAAAGTGGTAACAGTTTCACAGATCGCAGCCCCCCAGGGATGGCGATGTCTAGTTTGAATCTGCGTAGGACGTCACTATGCTGGACCCCCCAGCAGGCCTCGAACGTGGCGACAGTTTCACAGATCGCAGCACCCCAGGGATGGCGGGGTCGAGTTTGAATCTGCGTAGGGCGTCACTTTGCTGGACCCACCAGCAGGCCTCGAAAGTGGCGACGGTTCCACAGATCGCAGCCCCTCAGGGATGGCGGGGTCTAGTTCGAATCTGCGTAGGACGTCACTATGCTGGACCCTCGAAAGTGGTAACAAGTTCACAGATCGCAGCCCCCCAAGGACGGCGAGGTCGAATTTGAATCTGCGTATGACGTCACTATGCTGGACCCCCCGGCAGGTAGTTTGAATCTGTGCAGCACGTCACCATGATGGACCCCCCAACTGGCCTCGAAAGTGGCGACAGGTTCACAGATCGGACCCCCTCAGGGATGGCGAGGTCTAATTTGAATCTGCGCAGCACGTCACTATGCTTCACCCCCCAGCAGGCCTCGAAAATGGCGCCAGGTTCACAGATCGCAGCCCCCCAGGTATGGCGGGGTCTAGTTTGAATCTGCGTAGGACGTCACCATGCTGGGCCCCCAAGCAGCCCTCGAAAGTGGCGACAGGCTCACAGATCGCAGCCCCCCAAGGACGGCGAGGTCTAGTTTGAATCTGCGTAGGGCGTCACTGTGCTGGACCCCCCAGCAGCCCTCGAAAGTGGCGCCGGTTCCACAGATCGCAGCCCCCCAGGGATGGCGAGGTCGAGTTTGAATCTGCGTAGGGCGTCACTATGCTGGACCCCCCAGCAGGTCTCGAAAGTGGCGACAGGTTCATCACAGATCGCAGCCCCCCAGGTATGGCGGGGTCTAGTTTGAAACTCCGTAAGACGTCACTGTGCTGGACCCCCCAGCAGCCCTCGAAAGTGGCGACGGTTCCACAGATGGCAGCCCCCCAGGGATGGCGCGGTCGAATTTGAATCTGCGCAGCACGTCACTGTGCTGGACCCCCAACTGGCCTCGAAAGCGGCGACAGTTTCACAGATGGCAGCACCCCAGGGATGGCGAGGTCTAGTTTGAATTTGCGCAGCACGTCACTATGTTGGACCCCCCAGCAGCCTTCGAAAGTGGCGACGGTTCCACAGATGGCAGCACCCCAGGGATGGCGAGGTCTAATTTGAATTTGCGCAGCACGTCACTATGCTGGACCCCCCAGCAGCCCTCGAAAGTGGCGCCGGTTCCACAGATCGCAGCCCCCCAGGGATGGCGAGGTCTAGTTTGAATCTGCGTAGGACGTCACTGTGCTGGACACCCCAGCACCCCAGCAGCCCTCGAAAGTTGCGACAGGTTCACAGATCGCAGCCCCCTGCAGGCAAGACAGGAGAAGGCAGGAGGGAGGCGGGAAGGAGAGAAGGAAGGACGGAGACCACAGTGCACTATGCAGAACGAATGCCCAACCAAGGAGGGTTGGGAAATATACACCCGCCGGGGGGTGCGATCGACGACGAAGCGGGCGGGTATCGAGGGTCTGGGATATAGGATATATGTGTTGAACGGCACACGAGCGGATAAGAGCGAACAATCTTAACATGACTCTTGTTGTTGCTGCTGCTGCTGTTGTTGTACTCTCACTACTGAAAAATAATTCGTGTTGATCCCCCCCTCTGGTAACATATGTGTATTTTCATTGAACTGTCTCTCCCGGGGCTCGCACCCTGTTTCTTTAAACCAGGACACATCATCCTCCTCAAACTGCGTGGTTGGCCCCCGGAATACAACAACGGCTCCCGCCTGATATTTCCTGACAATTTACTGGAGAATCGCGCTCCCTTGCAATTAATCCAAGAATCGTGCTCTCGCCTGTGTCTTCCTCGCAATGAACTCTGGCGCCACGCCCTCGCCATTCAGGAATCGCGCTGTCGTCTGGGATTTCCTCATCATTTTCTTAGGAATTGCGTTCTAGGCCGGGACTTCCTGGCGAATTATATATGATTCACGCATTCGCGTAACATATTTGTTTTTCAATTGAAATGCCCCTCCCAAGGCTCGCTGCGTTTTTACTCGGGAAGATCATCTTGCTCAAACTGTGCCCTTTGCCCCCCGGTTTACAACAACAGCGGCTCCCGCCTGCTATTTCCCCACGGCTTGCTCCCAAATCGCGCTCTCGCGAGGGACTTCCTCAATAGTTCAATGCAGGAATCACGCTTTCGCGTGGGACATCCTTCCATTTTATTCAGACGCCACGCCCTTCACACTCAGGAGTCACGCTCTCGCTTGATTTTGTTCGAAGTGAATTGGGGAATCGCGCTATCGCTCGAGACTTCCTCGCGACTCATGCGGGACGCATGCTTTAGCAACCCGCCTGCTCGACCTGGCCGTCTAAGCCCGCCGTCCCGACCTGCCCGTTAGGGTCTACCCGCCCGATCTGCCCGTCTGGTCCTGCCACGTGTTTTCTGTTCCTGGCCCCCCTCCTGCTATTCTCTCGTGTTCCATCCTCCTCCCTCCCCCTCGTCCCTTCCTTCCATCCGTCCTCTGTTTCCCTGCCTTAAGGGCTGCACGAAATACACACGTTGCAAATAAGAAAGATACACCCCGAAGAGGGTACGATCGAAGACGAAGAGGGCGGGTATCGAGGGTTTGGGATACACGTTTTGAGTGGCACGCGAGAGGGGAAGAACGAACAATATTCAAATGCTTGGTGTTGCTACTGTTGCTGCTGTTGTTGTTGTTGTTGTTGTAATTATTGTTGTTGTAATTATTGTTGTTGTTGGTGCTCAATATTCGTTTATAGAAAATAATTATTGTTTATCTTCGGAAACGGTTCCGCGCGCTCTCGCCTCGACGCCGGCTACATTTTCTCTGAAGACGAGACTCCCGCGAGAG